CCCCCGAAGTTTGTCTCAGGAATGCTGATCATTCTCAGGTCCCAGGAACTGGCAGAACTGGGTTTTAACACCATTGAGAATTAACTACCTTGTTATCAGACTTCGAGATCCGGTAAGTGCACAGGAACCACAGACCCTGCAGCCATCTCCCACCCCCTCCGACTTTCCCCTTGCACGCAGCCTTTCTTCCTTCTCCCTATATAATCAGCCGGCTAGTAAGGGGAGAGCAGAGCAGATTTTTATGTGGACAAATCCCTCTGCTCTCCCATTTTGTTGGCTATATTGGAATAAATGCTCATATATGATTCAACGTTGTCTCTGCTTAATTGGCTGAAGTAGCGACAGGCAACCTGGACCCACAGTGTCTGGTTTCAATATCTGGTCCTTCTAAACAAGGACTCCTCTATCAACCTGAGAGGAAAATCAAAAACCATTATGCAGGTAACATGAACTCCAGACACTGGGTTTAACTGACCTTGTTCACAGGTGTTAAAAAAAACCTCCCATGCCCTGGCTGGTGTGACTCAGTGGTTAGAGTGTCAGCCCAAACACCAAAGGGTCTCAGGCTTGATTCCCGGTCAAAGGCAATTACCTGGGTTGCAGGTTCGATCCCCAGCCCTGGTTGGGGCATGTGTGGGAGGCAACCAATTGATGTGTATCTCTCGCATCGATGTCTCCCTCTCTCTCTTTCTCTAAAAATCAATGGAAAAAAATACCCTCAAGTGAGGATTAAAAAAAAAAAGGAAAATCAACTAAAACCAAAAAATACTGCCTGCTCTTCCACACTTGATCGCAGACAGACTCTCACTGAATCAAAATAAATCCCAGTTTGACCACGACAGCTGTTGTTTTCTTTCAGTTTTTATTGAACACAAGTATTCTGACAGAATGCAAAGTCAAAATTCTCAGTTAGTACTCAGTATTTACACCAGTGAGAATGGAAACAAAGGTGGTCTCGATGTTTCACTTGGTAAAAAGTTTATAACAAGAGAGAAGGCCCCCGAAGTTGGGAATGCTGGGTAGGGATGTTAATGGAGGTCTGAAAACTGCCATCCAGACAGACAGCCAGCCGAGAGTGAAAACCTGGGACTGGGAAGGCTCCATACAAAAGTGTGAAAACAGAGTTCCCCTTCCAAAGCTGCCTGTGTCCATTGTGGCCCCCCAGGGTGCGGGGCCCGGGCGTGGCGCGTGAGTGCCCCCAGCAGAACTTGGCCATGCCGGCAGCTATGTGAATACATATGTATGGCACATACACATATAGACACATAGACATTGGAAACGAGCAGAAATGATCCCCTCTTCAAAAAATTAAAAAAGAAACACTATAAGCTTTTATCTCTTAACATAAAAGATAGAACATCTTGAAAATAAAGTGACTCCCTCTTTGACTTTAGAGAAAGCATCGCTCTGTTTTATTTTATTATTTTAAGGAAAGGAAAGCTCACGCATGCAGAGACAAATCTAGGTATATTGGGAGAGAGGCTGACCGAACGGTGGGCGGGGTGTGGGGTTCCAGCTGATGGCGGAGCCAGGGGTCTGGGCAGAGGAGGGCGGCCGGCTGTCCTGGGCCAGGTTATCGAAGGGTTACTTATACCTTTCTCTTCCTAATCGTTAGAACAAACATCAGTTTGCCTTACCACACCCGCTTGGAGGGAAATGCGGTCTCCATGAGGTATAGTGTGGGCTTGGCCTAGGTGGTCAAAGCCATTAAGATCACACGATGCAGAACTGATCCCACGGACAACCTGGCGACAGAAGAGCCCACCAGCCCGTCAGACCCTGCCGTCGGACACCCAGTAGCTCGGTTCTGCTATGTGCTCTAAGAGCCATCTTCAAGGTACTGTTCCCACGGGCCTGTGCATTGAACTGTGGGTTTGTGCAGGCCCTGAAGTCAAAGGGGCCAGAGCGCTGTGGACTGGGATCCTCCATTTCCATCCCCAGGAGATGAGAAAATGCAAAACAACCCCACATTGAGCAAATGACAAGACCATTATTTTTCACAGTTTGAAATGATAACCTAGCACATCGCCACTGATCAGACTGCAGAAGTGTCAGAACCTGGGGAGGGAGGCCCACAGCACGGCTCAGGGGCTCAGGGCGGTCTCGCCACCCTCGCCTCCTGCTGTTCATACCTCCGGAAAGGAGCACATGCTGAGTCCTGATTTCTGTTTACTCAGCGTCATCTTCATCATCGGAATCATTTTTATTCATTTTCTTTGTTTAAAGGCTTCAATTCCTTTTAAGAGTAATTGTTGTTTCCTGAATATTTTTTCTGAACTATCTGCTATACCTTCCACAACCAAACTATGTTGAAGTTTTATTTCAATACTATGACAAAAACACGTTTCACACTAAAATATTCACGCATCCACAGTGCACAAGCTTGCAGTTCTACAGTAGAATGAGGAAAAAAAAAGCAAAATTTCTATACAAAGGGCTGGCTTTTCCCTTCTCCCCCCTCCCATCCCCCTTAAAGTTTCTGTATTTCCCCCCCACTTTGTTTCCAATCCAGGAAAGTTGTGTTATGACTCCAGACAGCAGGTTGGGTTTTTTTCTTTTGTTTCTACAAACGCTGCCTAAGTGAACAGAAGGCCGATGTTACTTTACTTCAACAGATTTCCAAAAAAGACACTAATTCCCTGAAGCACACATGCTCTTCCGCTCAAATCTAGATTCTGGGCTCAAAAGGAAATTGTATGTATATATTTTATTTGGCTTTCTACAAAAAGGGGGTGTTTGGGGTAAAAACGTGTGTTCACCAAGAGCAGCCCCAACTATGCAACCTTCTCTGCTTCATTCAACAAAGCCTAAGGAACCTTTCAAGAGGAAGGGCCGGAAGCCGGGAGCAGATCCCTTTTCACAGATACAGGCAGGTGGTGGCTACTCAGGAAGTGGGCTAACCCCCTGGGAAACAGAAAAAAAGAGCCGAGAACCAAGAAGCAAAACCAGTCCGGAAAGAGATGGATTTTCACCTGAGTGGGACGCAGGCAAAAATTTCAACTGAGGATAGGGGGAGCGCCACTGTAAACAATCATATTGTGTGAAGCTGTCTGTGCTAAAGCAAGCCTGTGATGATCCTACCCGCCCCGAGGCAGTATTTGGAACTTAAAAAAGAAAAAAAAAAAGAAAAAAAGGCAGCCATTTCACATGGACATTTAAACGCAATCGAAGTTAAACATTTGTCAACCTGTAAACACTGGAAAGCAAAGTTGGCAGAAAGGGGGGGAAAAAGCACAAAAAAAGGAAAGAAAAAAGAAGTCTGAATACTGTGAATTGAGATCTAGCCCCAGAAGCTGCAATGTGGCATTCTTCCTGCAAAAACAAGTCTACGTGGGAACTGAAGTCAGCTCGAAGGGGTGACACACTTTGCATACTGAACAAATACAAAGTGAACAGAAATTATAACTTACTTATGAGGTTTTACAGAGTTCAAACTCGACTGAAAGTATAAAAATAAACTTGGACTTTGTTCATTCGGTTAGTCTGTGCCTGGAAGTGTTTTTCTGAAACTGGTCTGTGCCAATTGGGCAACGCCAAGTGCGGTCTTCCTGAACCTAGATTTTTTTTTCTGAGCTTCCTAGATTCTTAATTTGGGGTCCTTTTGTTTGATTTTTAAATGGTTTCAGGGAACGGAGTGTCCTAGTTTGGCTGTGGGGTTAACCTTTTTGTCTCGTTTTCTTACAAGTGAGTGCGCAACAAAGGAACCCTTTCTATAAACCTACAAAAAGGCGATCCCGTTTATCTGTTTAGTTATTTTAAAGGCAAAAGACACTAGAGGAATGAAATATGTGCGCGCGCGCGTGTGTGTGTGTGTGTGTGATATTGGAAATGCTCTGGTGAAGCTGTTGTGTCACTTTTAATTTTGATCTTTGCTCGTCTCTCGTCACCCATCATGCTTTGCTCTCGTTCTCCTTTGTCTGTGTGGCATCGTTGGGGACCGTCTTGACTTCGGCTGGCGCTGGCTTCGTTTCTGTCTCCTGGCTCTCCGGCTTTGCTTCTACAGGGCCCTTCCTGCAGAGAACCGGGAAAACAGCACTGAGACCACGGTCTGGAGTGACTCACCCTTCAGCCAGCCCCTCAGGAGGGCACCAGCTAGAGCAGTGGCCTCCAACCTTGGCTGCCCATCGGCATCACCTGCAGCTGGGGTCGCACCCAGAACTGGCCTGGACATGGTGCTGGGGTCGCACCCAGAACTGGCCTGGACATGGTGACCTTTAAAAGTGTCCAAGTGATTCCAAAGTGCAGCCCAAGTTGAGAGCCACTAAACCAGAGGAATGAGACCTCTCCCGTTCCAGCTCTAACCTGACGGGGTCGGGTCCTTACCTGGGTGGTGATGGGGAGAGCAGATGCAGCTTTCCTTACCCTGGCGGCTGCAGTAGCAGCAGCTCAGCTTGGTATCAAGGAGCTGGGCTGGGCTGGGCTCCCCGGTACTGTTTCCAGGGGGCCCTTCTGCAAAACACCTGCTCTTGCTTGTCCCCACGGCAACCCACTCCACCCCCCCCTCGCAGTGCTCGGTATTTCATGGCGGCGCCTCTGTGGCTTGCCTGGGCAGGGTGAGAAATGCTCTTTGTTCCCGAGGCAGCTTTCCTGGGAGTCTGGTGGGAGGCTAGAGTGAGCTGTCATGCTACAGGGGAAGCTGAGCGGGGTCGAGTGGGCAGGGCTGTCGGAGTCTTTTTCCTCCCTTCCTGAGATCCAGGGCTCCTGGTGAGGGTCCCCTGCAGCTGTTGGTGGCAGTGACACAGCTCCCCTGGCACCAGCCTCAGGAGCCCCTGTGGAAACTTAGGTCTGACTCTGCCTCGGTCAGTTCAGCAGCTGAGTCTGGTCTAAGGACACACTGGGCAGGCTCAGGCCCCAGCCCTAGATGGTGCCACTGCATTTTGGCATCATATTGAAAAAAACCTGTGAGCTTAAGGACCCTCCCGTGAACTTCAAGGCCAATGGTCAGTTGGCACTTGGGAGCTCTGAGCCTCCCAGCCCATCGAGGGCAGGAAAAGCAAGAATAGGCGGTGGCGAGGGTGGGGTGGGCATCTGCGTGCAGGGGCCTCTGGACTGCATACCCTGCCCCCAGCCCCGCCTCTCTGCATCCTGTACAGCAGTGCTGTTCTGCGGGGACACAGCCCGCACTGCACAGCACGCCAACGGCCTGTGGGCCGCGGAGTGGCCAACAAGGGCGCCTCGGTCTCCTTAGCTCGCTTCCCAAATTATGCTCCTCAGTGGCCTGACTGCAAGGGTTCCCCAGGGATAAAACATAATTAATGCTGCCTAATTAGTGAGCAGGAGGCTGTATGCCGGGGCCTGCTGTGTGTCCCCGATCTCTCTGCCTTATCCCAGCCCTTTGGTCGACAGTTGCCTCAGAGAAGCCCTGGATTAGGCTGAGGACACATCTAACAGGGACACAGCACAGCACAGACGCACACCACCACGGGACACAACCCGACGACAGCAGACAAAGAGAGGCCGTACTCGGTCTTCGCTGGTGCAGGCGAGACAGAGCTGTCTGCAGTGGAAGGAGCAAGCTCAGGGGCTTGTCCACTGGCCCCAGCGGCGGGAGCAGGAGAGCCCAGGGCTGCAAAAACATCCTTTGCAAGGTCAATATCTGGGGTCTTGAAGTTCCCTTCGTCCATTTTAAAGTCCTCGCCCTGGGCAGGGTTTGTGGCGCTGACGGAGGCAGCCTCGCTCTTCAGGCTAGTGAGGGCCGCGGCTGCCCCGCTCTGGCTCTCCACGGGGCCCGGCTGGGTAGGCTCGGGGTCCGGGCCTTTGGTGCTGGGAGCCTCCTGCTTGACCTGGGGGGCTTCTGTGGCTGGGACAGCTGCTGCTGCTAGGGGACTGGCTGCCCCGGCCGAGGTGGGGGCTGGAGCAGGGGCTGCCTTGCTCACCGGGGGGGCCTTGGAGGCCTCCCCCACACTGGCAGGGGCGCTCGGGCTGAGCACGGCCCCCTGGTTAGCCAGGACACTAGAAGACAAATTGCTGGCGGCGGGGGCTGAGGTTGGGGTGTCGCTCAGGTCAACGAGGGGGGCCACCTTGGGGGCTGAAGCTGGGGGTGGGGAGGAGGTGACGACACCTGGCCCCTTGGAAGGGGTGGCCTGGCCGGCGGGCACAGAGTTTGAGTCGGGCGTGGCCGTGGCTGGGGGGGCAATACTGGAGGTCAGGGTGGTGGTTTCACTGGTGGGGCTGTTCTGAGCAGTGGCAAAGGTTTCGGTGATAGTGTCAGAGTTAGCGGTGACGGTGGTGACAGAAGGCAGCATGTCCTCGACAGTGGCTGTGGTGTCAGCAGGCAGCCTGCGGGGAGGACAGGAAGTAGAAGAGAATAGACAATGAAGCTGAGACGAGACAGAGAAGCGGGGAGAAGGGCTGACGCCCAGGAGGGGGCCGTGGGCAAGGCATGCGGTGATGCACAGGTACGGACACAGGCCCACAGAGATACGAGCACGCGAGAGGAGGCACACGCCCAGGCGGGCAGAAGAGGAGACAGGACGACAGAGAACGCAGCAGTCAGTCTAAAGGGACCTGTGGCCTTCCTCCCTGCTGACCCCTCCCCCTCTCTGCACAGGACTCCCTTTCTGATCCCTGCCTGCATCTCGCTCAGCGTGCACCACGAAGGCATCCTGAGTCCCTGGGAACTGGACCCACTGCCCTGCTGGGCTCCACGGGCGGTAATGGGAAAGTCAGGAATAAGGCAGATGATAGGTGTTCCAAACGGCCCCCAAGAGCTCTGGGTTCTGTGGCCACTGATTCTGGGCTTTCCTTAGACTCCATTCCCTTCAACCCCACAGTACCCAGGACAGCCAGGCAGTCATTGCAACCATAGTCAGACGTTTCTGACCCAGGGTCCCTGAGGCTTCTGAGAACAGGAGGGCCAGAGAGCTGTACCAGGTCCCCAAGTTCCCTCACCCTTTTAGGAAGAATGTAGAAAAACCTAGAATTCTTGGAAACCCTAAACAGAACGTGTTAAGCTTATCAATGCTCTGTCTCCCTCAGTGATGTTTTGTCCCTAAGTCATGTTTAGGATATGTGTGTGTGACTTGGGAACAGGGTCTGGGGATCCCACTTATGCATGAAGTCTTTTAAGGGCCCCCACAGCCACCCTAATAGAACCAAGAATGTCTTATCTCTAGGGAGAGAGTGGGGTCTGGAATTTCTTAGCCAAGGTATTTCTGGCCAAGGGTTCCAGAATTCTGGCCTGCAATGCTTGGCCAGGAGCTAGGGGTAAGGAGCATGGGCGGGGTGGGCAGTGATAAGGTGGGTGTGGGGCTCCGCTGGGGAGGCACCTGCCCCTTTGACCACGTACTCGGGCTCTGTCAGCGGCGTGGTCTCATTAGGCTCTGTGTGCTTCCCTCCGTCGTGATTTGGGGTCCGCTCCTCCTCAGTTCGCACCTCCACGATGGGTTCCTTGGATTCATCTTTCCTGCAAAGAGAGTTCGGCTGGTTTAATCCCAGGGA